TCAACAGCCCAACCTACCAGAAAATTGCTAGCGCAACAGCTGGTGCTCCGTCTGAATTAAGATCGAACCCATGCTCATCTCAAGCTTTCGTATCTGGAGGGTGTGTATTTTTGTATTTGCTCTCGAAAGGGTTCACATACGCGGCCTCCCATTAATTTGCTTCGTGGGAGCCTGTGATGCATCGACAGACTTTCTATCTAGATGCTCCAAATATGTCAATTTTATTGCTGATGAACGTCTTTAGGCGATTGTTCTGCTCCTTGGGCCGCCAATTGTGGAATCTTTTGTAGCCAAATTGAGGCAACAGTTATTCAGCGGAGGTTTAAAGGGTGAATATATTTATTTTAGTTTACCCTCACAATGTGTATTGGCTTCTAAATTCCGCCATTGACTGACTACAAGTGCTACCAAGTGCGGCGCTGCATCGAAGTTATTGTGCATCTGGCACAGGTAGACGTAGCATATAACATACGGAGATGGGCTGAGTTTCCCATGAGGTGTCAAACCGAGAGCCTTTGCAGTAATTGCTATTGCTCAAGTTTAAACGTGCTGTATTGAGAATTTAAGATCACTAAAATTGTGCTACGTGCATGTCTAACTGACTGATGATAAAACCTGCCGGTAATCCACCCTTTCCGCGAAATTCACCCCTTCTGACGTTAGATGCGCCCGCGCTGTTCATCATGATTCCTCACCATGGTATCTCTAAGTGTTGCTGTAAGTCAGAGGGACGCTTGGGATTTTTGCACTGTAACGTGGTGCTGACCGTCCAAATATATAACATTTCAATTTTAAATCTCACAAAATGAGGGCTAGAAAAAAAGTTAATATCGACGCGATGCAGTATGTAAAAAGTCTTACTCGGCAGTAAATCAACCAAAGGAGCCTCATCTCGAATCAAAAGGCTAAGAAAACTTAACCACCCAAGCTCGACGTAGACTTTGCTGATGCAATTAATGAAAAGCTGATTTCAGGACTGCTTGTAAGGGACGTTCTGACTAGTACGAAGGCGAATTTCAAATAGATCAAAAGGTGTGATGGTGACTAAAGAGTAGGCCCAACAAAGTCGAATGCGACGCGGATGACTGTAGCCGAATGTCCGAGATCAGCGTCATTGATCACCAGGAAAATGTTGTGTGTCACCACATACTTTCAGCATTATTTGTGTTATTAAATCTGAAATGTGCGAGAGAGCGATGAAAAATGAATACGCTTGCTTTATTCATCGATCTGAGCCGGTCTATTAATTTCTCAACACTGGTAGGTCATCCAAGACAACATGTGTATTTGTTATGTTTTCGTCGCGAAAACCCAATGACTACTTTTTAAAAACCGCTCTTACTTTTGGTCGCCGGCAGCAGCGATTACAACTACAGTAGAACCTGTCTAAATTAAACCTGTTTATTTCAAAACCCTCTCTAAGTTGAGCAAATGATATGGACCCATGTTTGATCACCATACAGTGGAACCTGTTTTAGTGGCGAAAAAATGGTGTTTTAACATTCTTAAAATGTTTAGTGAAATACTTA